GACCTCCCTGCATAGTTAATTTACCATGTCTAGGAGAATTTCGAATTTTGTTTTTCGGTTCATTGTATTTTTTCTTTCTTATGTCATGTCCTTTTCTCTAAGCGCCATGAGCACCGAAAGGTGGACCTGTGCGCTATACAAGTAGCCACTATTATTATTATTATTATTATTATTATTATTATTATTATTATTAAATGGTTACCTCATCAAATCAGCTCTCAATTAACATAAGTCTTTCGCCTATGGTTGATCGCCAACGAAACGGAGTTAAGTCTTTTGTCAATTCCGTTTGTTGCTACGGCAGGCAGCCAGTGAAAACGAATTCGATTAATCAAACCATAGAAATGCAAGCATTACTTTAAACAAACGGAACGTTGCTATTCCTAGCTCATCTTCCTGATTGAGGTGTCATATGAAAGGGCAGAAACTCAACTTTCTAGAAATGTGATTTTCTCTTTGGAATTCAGATACCGTCCGCCAAATGACTTTTTGGTTCCTTCTCTTCAAATACTATGCGTGATATATGCATCATAATTATGTTGCATTTAATGAAAGAGGGGGATCTAAACTTTACATATGTGTCATTTATCGATTATAATTCTGATTAAGTAATGATCAAACATCGGTAATTCTCGGTTTCATTTTTTCTGGGACGCACTGTATAGTTCAAGGTGGAATATTATTGATAAGCTGTATCGAGATTTAGGTCTAAAATACGTTCATTTCTATAATGATGGATTGATTTACAGGTCCCTATATTATCGCATGGACAGTATAGATTTTTTTTTCTGTATAAAAATGTATAATGAAGTAGGTCACTTTTTATGCGTCGTGTTTCGTTGTTGTCATTTCTAGGGCTTCAGTCTTTAATTTGGTAGATACGTAATATAAAATTCTGTGATAATTGCAAACGATGGTTTCGTGTTGAGTTCATGCGAAATGTCATTCCTGACCATGTCTGTCTGTGCCTCAATCAAAATAATGCATCCATCCAGGCAAAACGAGGGTACATACATTCAAGGATTATTCATGCTCCGGCATTGTAAGGGGCGGGGGAGCAGTGGCGGTTCAAAAAGAAATAATTTGCGAGGCACATTATACATGATGCAAGCCCCTCCCGCCCCCCTCCCTAAAATAAAATCTACCAGAACCGATGCCGGGGGAGGGGCGCAACGGACTATTCAGAGGTGGATAAAAATGAAAATTAACAAATTCACTGTGGGAGGGGCCGAGTCATCTCTCTCTCTCTCTCTCTCTCCCTCTTTTCATTTACTTTATTTTATTTTATTTGTGTTCACCATTTAATGGGGACACGGTTCACCCGCCGGTGCAACCCCTACCTATACACTACTGCTTAAAGGATAAGTCCACTCGAAAAATAACTTACTTTCAATAAAAGCAGAAAAATCAGACAAACCCATCAAGAAAAGTTTGAGCAAAATCGGATAACTAATAAGAAAGTTATGAATTTTTGAAAAAGTATGTAAAACTATGGAACAATGAGATTCACAACACAAATTGCCAAGATGGATATCAGTTTGTGACGTCATGTCCTCACAACTTATCAATTGCTTTATATATTTTAATCCCATTAATTTCCCTTTTTATCCCCCAAAACTTGATTTCCTCATGTCTTTGCCCTGGTTATATGATTTGTATCATATTGCGTGCATGACATTTCCCAAAAACTTTTATGAATTTTGAAGAATACTATTGTCTGAATATTGTATTTCATAATTATTGAGGGTGAAAGGGTAAGGGTGAAAATAGGAAATTTATATTATTAATATAAAGAAAATAATTAGTGGATAGTGAGGACCATACGTCACAGATTCATGAGTGAGTTGCCAATTTGTGTAGTGATTTTCAAAGTTTTTCATGTCATTAAAAGTTCATAACTTTCTTATTAGTTATCCGATTTTGCTCAAACTTGTTTTGATTGCTTTTTCTGATTTCTCTGGTTATATTGAAAGTAAGTTATTTTTGGAGTGGACTTGGGCTTTAAAGATAAAGTTAAGTTCTGGTCATGCGATTGAATTGTGAAAGAAACGTTGTGGAATCGATCAAAAAAGGTTGATCATCTGGCAAAAGTATTGGTGCATGTGTACTGCAAGGTTCTGGAATCATGAAATGATAAGAAATTTGGCACACTCTTGGTAAAGTTTATATTCTAGCACTGTACACATAAAGAGGACTACACGAACATGTTGCAAACAAATCCATTCCGATTTTTATGCTGTTACATAACTTACGTGCCGTTTTTAGAATATTAAGGCATTTGAAGAGCCGTGCTTTTCAGGGAGCATTTTTAATCTGATGTTCTTCCACACTTGCATAATAACAATGATAACGCTCACAAATTATTTTTCACCTCTTCCCAGAACTCAACCTTCCCTTTAACATGATTATGACACAGTTCATTATTAAATGCAACACTCATTCTACATTAGGGCATATACCCTTTACGAAAGTCATTCATGCGCTGGATTTAATTAGGTTTTTAGGGCGTTATTCAGTGGAAAGACATACCGAACGTGCTCACTTTAATTAGATTTTGCATGGGTAATGTTGGTCATTTATAGTATAATTATCATCAGGGCTTGGTATATGCTACAAGTTGCCTGCAATAAAAAAATGAAACGGCTCACTACCGACGGGGGAAAGAGAGAAAAGAGAGAGAGAGAGAGAGAGAGAGAGAGAGAGGGGGGGTGGGTGGAGCCAGGGAGAAAGAGAGAGGTAGGGAGAGAGAGAGAGAAAGAGAGAGAGAGAGAGAGAGGGGGGGGGGAGACAGCGGGGCGGGAGTGGGTGTAGCCGGGAAAGAGAGAGAGAGGGGGAGAGAGAGAGAGAGAGACAGCGGGGCGGCAGTGGGTGTAGCCGGGGGAAAAAAAAGAGAGGGAGTGAGATAGCGGGAGAGAAAGAGAGAGAGAGACAGCGGGGCGGGAGTGGGTGTAGCCGGGGAAAAAGAGAGAGAGAGAGAGAGAGGGAGGGAGAGATGGAGAGAGAAAGAGAGGGGGAGAGGGGGTGGGGAGAGGGAGGTGGGGTAGCCAGGGAGAAGAGGTAGAGAGAGAAACTGGAATTGAAAAGGAGGTGATAGTACGCCTACATTTCGTTCGTTCGTGTCTCCTTAGATCAAGATTAATGTAATCTTGATCTTCGGAGTAGTTGCTACAACCGGCCGTGTCAGACACGTTGCCCCGGGGTGCGAGATAGGACTCTTGTAGCGTGCCCCCATTTAAAACAATTATACAATAACAGTTAACATTACATTCAATTAATAGTATGAAACTATTAAAATTACTCTCATGTTACGGGAAAAAATATTGCATGAAACAATTGATTTGGTCGATCCAGTTCGATGGCACAAACACGGCACTACTGGACAGAGATCCTAATAATTACAGAGCTTGGTCTTGTTGCTCTGTTCGCCAGCAGTTTGAGGATATGGAATCCCGCACATTACTCACAAGAGTTCTAACAAGCCAAGCTTATACAGAGCCTATAATAAGTAATGTTGTGCATGTACCACCCATCCGATCGATCAAAAACTCAGAACTCATAATTGAATTTTTTTTTTTTAATTAAGAAAAAAAGAAGAAAGAAGAAAAAAAAACAGAAAAAAAAAACGAAATGGTAACCATCTAAAATGTTATAGTTGTGATAAATATCTATAAAGATTTATCAAGCACCAAAAATAAATAATATCATGTTCAAGAAAAGGATATAATACACTTTGTATTCTTCTTTCGTGTCCTCAAATGCTCTGCCAGGCCTTGGCACACTGAAGAGCCTTCTCATTTGCTGCCATCAGGTCTTCCAGGCAGCATTGGTCAATTAGGAGTGGACATCTTAATAGGTGTGACATGGATTGCACAAAATGTTCCACACTCGCAGTTGGTGTCTGTGTCGTCGGTATATCCCCATGTATGCATGTTGTATTTACATCGCCCCACCCCTGTGCGAAGCCTATGGCGTCTTCCAATCACATGTATGGCCAGGGGGCAGCTGTTCCTTGGTCGGGATTGGTAGCTTTTCATGGTGGTGGTGGTGGTGGTTTTCACAACGTTTCTCTTCCCACAAGATCACTCTGGACCCATCACGCACCCAAAATTCGACGGCCTTGATAATCTTATTCATCTAGTTTATTGGTCATATATAATTATATTGGGAATTTTTGTTCTCTAGTGCTTGTAAACTCAATGGCCAGAATTCACAACAGTGGTACAAAAAAACCCGGGGGTTTAAACCCCCTGGTTTAAACCTCCATTGTGAATCAGAAAATCAGAGGTTTAAACCTCTGTTGTGAATTTGGGCCAATAGGTCGATATAGGGTGGATGACCGCGAGCGAAAATATTATTTTTAATTTTTGAATAATGAAACTTCGCCGCATCTGGAGTAAAGCACTTATCAGTTATCTTGATTGGACCCGAAGGTGATCGGCAGGGTGACAAATGCTCCCATTAATAAATTGAGAAAATAAAGGGGGGGAATTAAAAAAGAACCATGTTAACCATGGTTTTTTTGTCCTAATTATACCATCCATGGTAACCATGGTACTAAACAATGAAATCATCAGAAATCATCATTGTTTGATACCATGATTACAGTAGTTCTTTTTTTAAGCAAAGAGAAAAGGAAATTAGTATCTTAATTCTAAGAGAGGGGAGGGGGGGGGGTGAGAAAAAAAGAGAACATGAAAACAGATCCCCCCCCCCCCTCCTATATCAACGGCCACTAATGATCAAGGCCATCGAGAAATCGGTCAATACTAGTATCGGCGCGCGCGTGCGACGCGCATTATATTACCGTATTTAAGCGCACGATCGATCGAACGCCATATGAACGCGCACACGTTAAACGTACGTAATTAACGGTAAAACTTGTATTTTTTTTAAGAGGTCGAGGTTGCTCAAATTTGCCAGCCCAGCTCAAGGATCTAGAACAACGGTGACTAGAAAAGAGGAACATTAACAGTTGATAAAGTTAGAATTAGTTCTATCGCCTGCATGCCCTTGACTTCTGACTGATTCACGTGCACGTGAGTACCGTACAAGAATCAATATAAGAATTAGACCCGGGATTAGACCTGGGATTCGTGATGGATCTGGATGTCCTGGGACAGTTTTTAGATCTCTTTCGTTCGTTAGCCTCTGATTTGGGTAGGGCCGGCTCCTCTGAAATCAGAGGCTTATACGAACGAAACAGACAGAAACTTCGGTCTAGATAGATCTAAGTTAGATCTAGACTTGTTTGAAAACTATTTGTCTGGACATGTGCGTGTTTGCGCTTGTGTGTGTGTGATTCTGGGGAGGGAGTTATCTGGGGGGTGTTTCACAAAGATCCTAGATCTAAAGTTAAGTTGAACTTATCTCTAAGTTGGACTTAAAATTTATGGGAAGCCATTAGCATCCTTGAAAATATTTTGTAATTTTTTTTTAGAAGTCATAAAATGTTGATTCAAATCATTCATATTTTCTATTATCATGGGAGATATCATGTTCTTGATATGGAATTGATGAAAAGTCTAAAATACTCCAATTTTTTGCTTATGAATATATTTCATTTTAAGGCTCCAATGGCTGTCCATACTTTTTAAGTCCAACTTAGTGTTAAGTTCTACTTAGGATCTTTGTGAAACACTCCCCGGGGCCTGGGCCCTCTACTCTTGCACATAAGGTTGCGGTTAAAACAAAAGCAACTCAAAAAACTAAACGCAACTTGATTTTCAACCAATCAGAATCGCGTATTTGAGTTGCGATTAAAAGCTAAATAAGGTAGTCTAGACATCTCTAGTAGTAGTAGCCTAGTAGACCTCTAGATCTAGGCCTAGATAGATCTAGATCTTTAGTAGTCTAGACCATCATCAAACTAGATTTGCTGTATCTGTGTGTGCTCCTTTTCTTCTCTAGAGCCTACTCTCTAGACAGAGATTAGGCTAGATCTAACGTTAGTTCTCTTTCTATCTCTCTCCACTTCCCACCTGGGGCGTGGCAATAAATTTGCAATCAATTGCAAATCCCCTAAATAATCTAAATCAAGCTTAAGTTTCTTTCAGCCCCCCCCCCCCCCGGTCAACGCCTCATTAGTAAAAAAGAGAGAGAGAGAGAGAGAGAGAGAGAAACAAAATCCTAGGAAATTAGTAGGGTCTACTAGACCTAGATCTAGTGCCAGTGGGGTGTTGCAAGAAAGTTGAGTTGCAATTGATTGCAAATATCAGTTACAAATTTTGCAACTTGCAATTATCAAAACTTTCTTTCAGCGCCACATAAAGGCCATAGATCTAGATCTAGATCTAATCTTAGTCTTCTGTAGTCTATGCTAGCTTCCTTTTCTCTCTTTTTTTATTGAGATTCTCCTCCTTTCCCCCCATTATTTTTGTCCTTCCCTTTTCTTTTCTCATCGTTAAATTCCTACCCCGTTTTACACTTCCCCTATAGATTCTGGTCTAGACCTACCTATTCAATGACACTTTTAATATTTAAATTTACTTGGTTATTTGCATTTAATATCTTTATCATGTCTGTCACTAGTGTCAGTGTCAAAGAGTTATTTTTATTTGATATGTTAGCTTTTACATTTATTTTCGTGTTCCTTTTTCATTCATACATGATGTAGATTCTATATCTAGATCCTATGATAGTTTAGAAATTTAATATAATTAAAAATATAATAAAGATATTAATATGTTTGTAGGCCTAATTCCTTTTTGTGTACTTTTATTAGACTATTAGCATTTTTGTATTGAATTCATGTAGGATATGGATACCCAACCGGTAGAAGAGATGGGGGTTGAAGTGGAGACAGGAAACTTGCCAAGTCTAGACCCTGTAACTGCGGACACTGCCGAACACTGTGCAGATAGCCCGGGCCAGCCAGCAGAGTCAGCTAACTTAGCTGCTACGTCATCAGTGCCCAAGAATGCCATGCAAGGTATATCAATCTAGATCGCTGTCATCTAGATCGGATCAAGACCTAACAATCAGTCCATTAGGTCTATTAAAAAAAATGTTGTATTGCCCTTTTATAGGTGCCAAAACATGGGTCGGAAGGTCTGAAATCTTTTTGTTAATAATCTACTTATAAAAAAAAATAAAAAATAAGAATAAAAAAAATCCTCCCTCTTCGGGCTGATATTTCTCAGTATTGAATGCTTTAATATTTTTTTTCTCCCAAAAATGGTTAAATATTTATTTCTTTTAAAGCCAACTGTAGATTTCAAGATTTTTGGGTCAGTCGCAAAGGCAAGTTGAGTTGTGAGCTAAAAGAAGAGCTGTATTAAAAAAAAGAATAATACAGTAATAATGACAATAATATATAGCTGTTATATGTCTAGCACAGTTCAACTCTAAATGGGTTCTCGAAGTGCATTACAAAAAGTAAAATAATCATATTCAATTTATGAAGAACAGATACTAATCTTGTAGTTTTGAATGTATATATTTTGAATGCAACCATGTATCTGCACTGGATTATTAATATCTCTGTAAAGCACTTAGAGACATCGTTGATGTATTAAGCGCTATATAAATGTGGAATATTTACAGACAAAAGAGGAAAATCATGTTTACAGTTTGTCTGGTTTGCTTTTCACAGAAGAAACCAAAGAAACTACTGATGATGTCAGAGAATGCACTGATAAAACCATTACACCAGCGGTAAGTAACTAGATACTTCAAAAATGATGAAGAGAAAGTAAATGTCTATTTCATCTCAGCTTCTTTCCTGAGACAAAGTTTGAAATGACAAGCACGTTAAATAGGGTGGGAGGTCGAAGGGATCATGTTCGTAAATGAAATTACTTGGAAAGTTTTGTGAGAATTTTGACCTCTAATTCCTAGTAACAGAGATGAATACTTAATTGATAAAAGATAAAGAAAGGAAGAAAAAAAATCATGTCTGGCTTTAACAAGACGATTAAAAAATACTTAGCCAATATTCATCTGAATACTGTTGATACTTTACATCTGCAAGTCAGTATGGTGTTTTAATTGTTGTTTTTTATCATGTCATAACTTCATATATCTGGATCCAATTTTGGCTTTGATTTCTCCTGCATTCTGAAATTCTGATAATATTCATATTATATTTATTCTTGGGGAACCTATAAAAACAATAATGCTTTCCAGTAGATTCCTGCTTCATTTCATAATTTTGAACTTTGTCAACTATGTTCTTTATTGTGCAAACAATTGATATATGAAATGGAATAAAATTCAAATCAATCAATCATGTCAATCATGTCTGATTAGAATTCGCAAGAGGATTCAGCAGCTAAACAGGAGCCAGAGGTGAAGGAGAACACCACCAGCACTCGAACATCAGAGGATCCTGCAGGAGCTGACAAGGAGCCAGTGAAGGATCCACAGGGAGCCGCAGCAGAGACAGAGGAGCTAGAAGATGGGGAGACTCTGGCCAAGAAGCCAAAGGTTGCGACTGAGGAAGAGGCTACATCCAACCCCAAAAAAGTGTTCTGTGAAGAATGAGGTCTCAAATATGATGTCTAAACTGTGTTGGTTTCCTACTTTAGATTTGTTCATATTTTTTAGAGTTCTGGAGATAATAATTTAAAGAATACAATTACCACTGTAAACTTACGATCTTCTGTATCAAAATGGGGATAAAGAATGATATTCGGGGATGTAATGTAATTTATGTAGTACTAAGGATTTGTAAATATTTTGTTTGAGAAGTGTATATAAAGATATCAATTATAAGTTGAAAACAAGCATTTTCTCCATCATGTAAAAAAGCTTTGTATCATCTCAGCTTTTTGTTTTGTCTTTTTTGTTTTTTCTCTCATTAAAATTGATCACTTTTACAGTGTGAGATTTCGTTTCACTGTCCATATGCTGTACAAGATTCCATGCCAAAATATCTTACATGTCAAGCTCACAATGAAGCAAAAACTCTTGAGAGAAGCCATTTCTCTGATTTTCTTTACATGCATCATGATCAGCATGTATAGCAGTTCATTGGGGGAATATATGAAAGAACAAATGGCCAAACTCAACCATTCTGTCCTATATACAGCCAACAAAGTTAAGAATAAAAACCATTTCTTTTTGTGTCATTATTTATTTAAAATGGCCTACAAATAATCTACAAATAATCGCTTTGACACAAGGGTGGTAGTGTCAATGGACATGGTTATTTCACTATGTATACTATTCTTTCATATTATGTACTCTTGAATTGTGTTTGATGTTTTAATATTTTGTTATGAGAAATTAAGAATTATGTTCATGTGACCATTCCTCTGATTTTGCCAGACATTTGCTGAATCCATACAGATTTTTTCTCCCAATTCTGTAGCTAAAAGTGCCTTCTCATCAGTTATTCGTAAATTAGTAATGCTTGCTTACAGGATGAAATATAAATTATAGCATAATTATACATTAAATTGTTGTTGTATACTGTATTTAAATGATATTAGAAAATCTGTTACAGAATAATGATGTTAGTTGTTTTTATAGCCAAATATGAATTTGTGCTGATGTTGAATTTCAAACTTTCTTTTCTTGGAACGTTGTACTTAGTATTTTAATATAATATAGCATGAACTTGCTCTGACAGTTCTTTAATTCTACTTATTCTGGAACCATGGCATTATCTGTAAAGCGCTTAGGCACATCGTTAGATCGGTGTATTGAGCGCTATATAAAAAAACAGATTATTATTATTATTATTATTATTATTATTATCTCTCACTTGTTAATGTCACTGTTTTTAAAGAAAATAAATAAATTATTGAAGATACTGCACAATTCCTTTGATAATGTAATACCTTGCTTTCTCTCTTCCAAGACCAAATTTATTCAAATTTTCTAAATAAATTTTACAATGACATTCCCAGTTCTAAGGTCAATAAGGTTTCAATATTAGATAGCTCTTTATGCAGATATAAAGGTGTGATTGGTCCAAAGCTTGTCACGTGATGTTGATTGCGAGGATCATAATTAGCATACCGGTATTTCACTCCCGGTCGATTTTTGATGGTTACTATAATTACTGTACGGTCAAACGAGTGTGTCATGATACCCATATTCATAACGAAAAACTCGATTAAACTTATACCCCACCACTATTACACAGGAACCAATGTAAATCAGGTGGGGGTATCAAGACCCACTTTTAGTCGGTGGGGTGACAAAATCTCAATTTTTTTTAGATTTTGATTTGTTTGCATAATTGTGTACCTAATGGCCTACGACACCACCTGATAAATCCATGGAACGCCTCCTGTCTCGGTTTTTTCACAAATTCTACACAAAGGACGGTGTCACAGCACTAAGTCTCTTGAGACAGAAAATGTTTTTCCGCTCTCCTGAAAATTCATGATTTTTGAGATACGAGGTTTTGTCATCCCATCAACGTTTTGTTTTTCTCGTTAAAACTTGGACAGAGCCTTGCAGCTCTGCGTGAGAGATAATGATATTATATTGCAGCTGTACTCTTCATCATCTTACGTAATAGTGTAAAAAAACTCTTACTGGGGCTCTACCTGAAAGGAAATGAGAAGTAGGAAATATGTGTTTTACTTGTTTTAAGATATTTACATGTCCAAAAGTCACTTATAATTTAGATGGAGACCAAAATGAAAGTTCGAACAAAGCAAAATGACCCAGAATTGGCGATAAAACAACAATTTTAACTGAAAATTAGCACTCTTTCTCCCTCTCTATCACCCCGCCAAGGTCTCGGCAGGGGGATTACATTATCTAGCGCTAGTGTTTACTTTAGGCTTAGCTCTAGGAGAAGTGAAAGTCAAATGGGGGTTTCAATTTTAAACGACGAGTTTTCGTCATGCCAAGCAATATTGTGCATGCCTAATGTTTGCATTGTCTTAGCAACAAGATCAACTTCAAATAACTCTACAATCATTTATTTGTTTTATATTCATAGATATCTTTAATCAATATTCTACACTGATAATATTTTCTTCATACAAAGGTAACCAAAAATACTTGAAAAATATTGCATGAACACTTTCATACATAGTATTACTTTCTTGTATATTACATTTCGTTTTCATAAAACTTATCTTCACTTACGACTACTACCGTTACATGGCATGAAAGTACTCTCAGAGACTTCTTCAAATTTTCACATGGAAGGGGATCGTATAAAATAACAGCCAATTTCATTATTAGCTATAAAAATAGTGCATTGAATGAACAAAATAGTGTATTGAATGAACAAAGACATTGAATGATCAAAATAGTGTATTGAATGAACAAAAACATCATTGAATGATCAATTTAGTGATGGTAAGATACCACATGCATGATTGAGATGAGACATGAAAAAATGTGCTCCACAAATTTCTTCTGTTGCCTGTATATGAAATGCTTTGTAACAAAGTTAAATGAAAAATCACACACTTATAACTGCCCCAAAATTAATGATGAGTTCTATAGCATAACAAAAATGGAAAAAAAAGGCATTTGAAACGGGAGGGTGGTGAGACGTAGGGAGAGAAAGATTCTGATGAGGAAAGAGATCAAAAGTGAGAGACAGACATGGCCAGAGAAAGAGAAGTATAGAGTAAAATGGAAAAAGATAGCAGGGAGAAAAGAGTAATAGAGACAATGACAGAATACACCAATGGAAAGAGGGAGAGTAAAGTGACTTGACATGAAAAAAAACAGGATTGTAAAAGAGATAAGAGCTCTAAAACTTTCACCAGCACCTACCACCCTTCTCACTCTCAACGGATGACATATTAATCATTGCTCATATGACCACTAATAAATGTTATCAAATGAAGACTTATTTCATAGGAAAGATTGGGGACAAATTGATTATGTATCTGGGTAAATGATTCTATGATTTACTTGCCTGACGAGGCAAGTGGTAAAATAAAAAATAAAATGATTATGGGAAAGGGAAAGCAAAAGAGGCAATAAACCAGTGTACGTTGAACCATTTTATACACAGAACAAAAAGATAATTTCACAATCATTTGGGGAGGTACTTCTTCCCCAACGCATTCAGAATGCAGGGAAGCCTGGGGGGGGGGGGGGGATGTTTGATACACTTCATAGACATACTATCTGAGGTATACTGTAATATGAATCTATACATACTTCCTAATATATGGTCCTTTTTATCACTCAAGAGCTCATCAGAAGTTGCCCAACCTAGCAACAGATGAATTGAACAGTTGCTTCGCATGGAATACGGGAAGACACATGCATAAATTTGAATATGTTAGTACATGTAATCCCATAATTAATGGGTTTTTTTTAACCTGATACATCTCAAGATATATACTTGTTCTGATGATCTGAAAGTTCATGTATCACATCCAAAAGGAAAATTTACTTATACTTGTGTCTTCAAAGATGGACTTCTCCTTGCACATAGTAATTGTTGCTAGGTTGGGCAACCTGTAACAGTTTCAATGTCTGGAGTTCAGACATCTTCCTCAGACGTGAATTGGCAGTCTGAAGGAAGATGAGGAAGTTGTCTGAACTCTAGACATCAAAACTGTTACAGTTAAGCCCCACTGCACTACTTATAGCTAAATGCACCCTCTATATAGCAAACCATGCCTAATTGGTGACCATTATCCTCTTTTTCTTATGTTAATTGAGAGCTGATTTGATGAGATAACCACCTATCAGTGACCTTGCAGGGTGGTCTAATCCCTTCTGTAAACTAGTACAGATGGGCTTTAAATCTTTCATTTTGGATGTGATACAAGAACTTTCAAATCGTTATTACAACCATCTTGATGAATTGTAACTGTTTCATAAGATACTTGTTCTGTCTAAATCACTAGGAGCCCATCATCATTTGGGAGAGAACGGTTTTCTTCCGGACCTCTCTTGTTCCTCTTCTACCAGTTTGTGGGCCGGATGGTGCTTAATCTCGCCCCTCTCGGTGGTGTACATCAGGGCAGGGTTAGCTGAAGTGGTGGAAACACTGCCAAGGGAGGTGTAGCTATCAGAGGGAGAGGGAGATTGAAAACAAATGAAAAGTTGATTATGGGGGTTGTATTGATAGCTGGTTAACAGAGTCTGCAAATACAGAATAGCATGTATAACTAAATATAGAATAATTATAATAATAATAATCTTTTAAAGTCCACTTCAAATTTTATTAAACCGAAATGGAAATTCTTTATGCCCAATTGATTGTGAGCCCGGCAGCCACTGAGCAGCGCCAGATTGACCTGCAACCCATCACTTATGCCAGTACTTGATGTCTGACTGCACAGTGCCTCAATAAAGCTACCTTATAAGTTCAATCAAAGCTCTCTAACTGGTCTTCTATGAGAAAATAATAGGGGAGAGGGGAGAGGTGGTGTGGGGAGAGCATTGTCCGTTTCAATGTTCCCCCCAAATTTTAAAAACAAATATCATTTACCACTCATCTGAACCCTATTCCAACTGGGCTTTTTTGAAAGGTTATTTAATTTCTTGCCTAAGTACAAACACACAATTAAAACAATAACGCAAAGGTTGTGTTCTACAAAATCAGTTTAACCTGATACAAGGACTAAAGTCAGCATAAGCAAAGGAAAACCTTAGATCTTGGACAGAGCTTATACCCAGCAAAATTTTAGGATACAGACATATTTTTAGTATGATAGTATAATATATAAGTATAATAAGAATTCCTCACCCTTAATCCATTGATGAACTTTATTTTAGACTGAGCTTACACCCAGCATTGGATTTAAATTTTAGAATACAGACCAAAGTAAACAATATCTGAAACTAAAGCACGTTTTCAACACAACATCCTAAATTTGAGCAAGGTTTGCTGTTACACCATGTATTCTTAAGAGATAGAGCACGAGTGGGCCCTTTTCAGGGCTAACGAGCTCTGTCAAAAGAATGCGTGGTGTAACTGCAAACCCTGCTCAGTGATATCATCACCATGGAAGCCTTTACAGATTACATAATATCATATCATAAAGGAATGTATAGAACAATAACGACCTCCTTTCCTCACCCTTTGTCGTAGAGCCTGCAGTAAGGCACAAATAGGCGTCGTAGGAAGACCCAGACATCATGATAGCTCCAGAACAGCATAGGGTTGACCCGCATTAGCTCCGGCCAACCCTCATCGGTCGGGGAGAAGTTACTCAGGCTCGCTGTAAGAAAAAGGGAAATGATATGATCTGATGACTCACAGCATTTATATGGCACTGTATTTCTGTTTTAACCCTCTGCTTACGGGAACCTGGTGGTCCCTGTGTTAAGCCTATGACACCTATACAATTCAGTAGTCAACAGGTTAATACAAAAAACATTTAAAGGTGGGGGGCAATGCCAATGAAGTCAGTGTTTGTACATCTGCCTTGGTGAAATATAACATCGGTCAAGAAAATTCATATAAATGTATTTGTTATAATTAACTCTGGAGCATCTGTTATAAGTGAGATATTTGCAATATTGATGTACTAAAATGATATACGAGTCAATTTTATAGACACATTAAGAAGACCAGGAAAGAAGGGCATGAGGGCAATGGTGTGATATGCATTCACTACAACCAGAAAGTTGCAGAAAATCCACTTCTTTTTTTTTACCGGAATGTGGGTCAGTCTGTCTCGTTCCCATTAAGACAGCTTTGATTGACGGGTTACTCTTCTTCAATTCCCATAATGCATCTTTTATCCGCCCCTGTATCAAAATGGTCTTCAGGTTGTACCTGTAAGGAAAGATATGTTGAAGCAAGTTTAAAGAGAAGGTTGAGTTCTGGGAAGAGGTGAAAAATAATTTGTGAGCATTATTGTTATTACGGTAGGCAAGTGCGAAAGAACATCAGTTCAAAAATGTTCCCTGGAAAACATGGCTCTTCAAAATGCCTTAATATTCTAAATATGGCACGTAACAGCATAAAAATCGGGATAGATTTTAATGCCATATGTTTGTGTAGTCCCATATACATATGTCTGTGTACAGTGCTTGTTAGTTTACCAAGACTGGGCCAAATTTCTTATCATTTTGATGAATCCAGATCATTGCAGTACACACCAATATGCTAGATGATCAACCTTTCCTGATCGATCCCACACCGTTTCTTTCATAATGCAATCGCATGACCTAAACTCAACTTTATCTTTAAATGCATTTTTAATAAGGGAAACAAACATTAGTTGTTAGATGTATAAATTAATTATATTGTTCATATATGATATTATCATTCTCATCAAACGTAAGAATATAACATAAACAAATTAACCGAGGACAAAATACACATAGTGACAGAAAATAATTAACTCAATTAATCTTTGCATTTTGCAGTCAACATGACATCAGTAATCAACTTTTATCTTTGCCAAAGAAATCTTTTCAATGAATATTGAAATTTAAAGTTAACACAGATTCAATTATTTACTGTGGTAAGAGTAAACTCAGACCAACTTATTGTAAGTTATATTTCTTTTTTGAGCACATCTCTTTCCATATTCATTCATTCATTTCTGTTATATCTTTCTGTATTTGTACCACAGTACATGAGGAAAATATAGGTTGTTCTCCTGTTATGGGATTAGATCTTGGTTGTTTGGGAGGAGGGCAGTTTCTACATTAACTCTCTTGCAAGCCTCTTCCTTTCAAACGTTCCTCTCTCTTTCACTCTCTCTCTCTCTCTCTCTCTCTCTTACTAATCTCTCCCATCTTTCTCTATTTCTTCCTTTCTACAATGTACCTCTTTTATGGCTGCCTTTCTTTCTTTTTTTTTTTTTTTCTTTTTTTTTTTGGGGGGGGGGGGGGGTGTGTTTCATCCTTCCTTACTTTCCTTTCCCCTATCCACCTCTCCTTCCTTTCTTCTCTCACAATAGGGAATCTTAGAATTGCGTTGACTGATACGTGTGACGTCCATTTAAGGCAGTGCATTAAAAGGACGTCGATCGTAGCAATCCACGTTGTCGTTGACGTTGTGCAAATCTAAAAGTCCCTAATGCCTACCCCCTTCCTCCCTCCTCTTTCTCTCTCTCTCTCTGCCTAAATCAAAATATAAATAGAGACATTGATTACCCAACCAGTTAAGCTCACCTTTTTACCGACTCGTCTACAAACTCATCCACTTCCTTGAATGTACCGTGAGGGTGCTGTATGTACAAGACCTGTAACTGGCCTTTGTAATCCGGGTATTTCCTAATGCATAGTGGAAAAAATGACCAAAAGGTAAATTAAACAACTGGGCTCCGTCTTATAAAGAGTTCTCTAATAAAACAGAAGTTTGCAGTAACTTATCTCTCAATACACAGTTGTGATTGATGTCAAAACGCAAATAAGTTATTATTTAAAGGGCCCATGACATTGAAATACATGTGTATTCCTGTTGGTGTGCGGTCCTACGTACATCTCATATTTTGATATGTAAACTTCTGAATTTGTTTCATAGATTTTGAAATATTTGTTGAAATATTTGTTTTTCAAACTTGCTATTAAGCTCTACCCCAAAACCCTCTATCTCATTCCCCTTGTGGCATCATCTGTCAGTCATCAATGAGCAAACTTGAGAAAGTGATATGTATCTTTGCCGAAGTCCACCACCTGTTACAATATGTAATACAATAGCAACATACAAGTTGCTATGTCAGACATGCTGTAGCATCACCAGGAAGACAAAGGCAATGATGTATTGTACATATGTATGGAAGCATGCAATTCTATTATGAACGTGTGCTAAGCTGGGGGAAATTACATACCATTGTATATTCTAGAATATTAGTTTAGTCTGACATGTCTGACATTATGATGCTATTGTTTTTCGATGCCATGGGCCCTTTAACCCTATTTTAACTGGGCTATTTCAGACCAGGTTTTTACTGGGGGGGGGGGGGGTCAATTTGACCCCCCCTAAGATCTCGGCCGTTTCACTGCCGATCGCCGCGAAAATTTGCATACATGTCAAGTGAAGTGTATAGAATATATATATATATATATATGTATATATATACTATGGTAATTTCAATTTTTTGAAAAATTCACTCATTTGCATATTTATGGTAATTTATGCAAATAAGGTCATAAAATTCACATTTTTGCCCATAAATCATACATTATTTATATTTAAGCATACTTTTTCACTACATATATTTGTTAGACCATTTGGAATAATAATACAACACAAAAAATTGGAAGAGCCAGGTTATTCCTTATGTTATCTCTTGTTTTGATAATTTCTTATGTATTTCATTGTTTTTTTAACTTATGTATTTTATTGTTTTTGTTGTTTTATCTAATTTATAACTACAATTCAACTATTTTGCCCCCAAAACAAACACCTAAACTTTAAACAAGACTAAATAACCAATGTTTTATCTCTTTTTAGGAAAAATGACATTTCCGTATGTTTTGTACACAAATCACAAAAATGAGCGATTTTCGGGCTGACATGCGGAGACAAAAGGTCACGTGACTTTGTAACTATACGTCCGATTTTCGAAAAAATCGTTTTAAAAGATGCGTAAGACTCAAAAGAAAAAAGTCATGAAAGGAAAATTTTATATCTGCCGCGGTTTCGGATTAGTCGCGAAATTTCTACAGGGGGGGGTCAAATTGACCCCCCCCCCCCCCAGTTAACGTAGGGTTAATATCAACTCTTCATAAGAAGGGGCCCTGGACTGTATAAAAACAAAATAAATACTAGATATCTTTGTGAACATTCCACAAAAGACAACCTTTTTCTCGTATTCAATTGAAAACTTACAACAAACAACCATTCCTTTTGCAATTGCCAACACTTACACTTTTTTTTATTAACTGTTGAGAAACAAACATTAAAATTTGAAGGAAAAAAATTCATCAACCACCTTCGTACCTAAATTTTCAGTTAGATAGGTCAAATATGAATTTTTAATTCACTGACGTTACTAGCTATATGTCTTTTTGTATTTAGGATATGGCTTGACTTCCCCCTACATTTGGCTTGGTTAATAATGATAATAACAATAAATTTTCCTTATATAGCGCTTTTCATACGAGATTTACATCAAAGCGCTTTACAATATTGATGCAAGTAAAACTAAACAGAGTAATGACAAGAGAACAAATTTAAAGTGAAATTATCAAACATAAGATAACAAGGTAAGGTTACAATTTAAGAACTAGGTTGAATATGTCTCTTCCATTAGATAGGTTTTTAATTTTGATCTAAACAAAGTAATATCAGAGATGCAACGAATGGAGGCTGGAAGAGAATTCCACAAACGTGGAGCAGAGCATGAAGGTTACGTTACCTTTTAACAACAGCATGGAAGAGGTGTATAAGGGCCGTGCAATCTTTACCCCCATTAAATCCCGCACATATCTCATCCATCTTGTACTTCTCAAGTGCCTCCTCAATCACTATGTAAATGCATCAAAGAAAATGTGGTCAGATAATATGTAAAGTTTTGGGGAGGGTTTCACAAAGACTTAGAACGACTTTAAGTTGGACTTAACTATGGCAGGCCATTCATGCCACTAGCTGCTCTCAACATTATGATCTTTAGATAATATTGTTTCCTTCAATAATAAACTATCACAAAATGTGAATTCTGTGGATTTGGGACCATGATTTGTACGTCCCTTGAGAGACCAATGCCAGTAAATGGTAAGAGCAAACAGAGGCATGAATGGCCTGCGATAGTTAAGTCCAACTTAAAGTCGATCTTAGTCTTTCTGAAACACCCCCTGGTATAGTTTGAAAGTAATCTTTAAGCTCTCTCATTCATTTCATTCATATATTGTAACATATCATTAAAACAATTTACTTGCTTTTTTTTGTACTAGTACATACAATCGACACTACAGTATCTCAAGTTAAGAGAGGGTTATCAAGGCTTGAGTGTGCCTACAGAGTGTTACCATGCCAGGGGGGTGTTTCACAAAGATCCGAAGTCAAACTTAACTCTAAGTTGGGACTTAGAAAATATGGAGAGCCATTTGTAGCCTTAAAATCAAATATTTTCAAAAGCAAAAGTTTTAGTTTTTTTAGACTTTTTATAAATTCCACATCAAAAACATGAAATCTCCTTGAAAATAGAAAATATGAATGATTTGAATCAACATTTTATGCCTTTTGAAATATCTTTCAAAAAATATTTTCATAGATGATAATGGCCCTCCATAATTTTTTAAGTCCAACTTAGGATCTTTGTGAAACACCCCCCTGGTACTAATCCCTATTGTGCTTGGATATGTGTTATATCAAACTAGAAAGAAATTTAAATGTATAATCTTTCCCAGGCTTGATCGAGCAATGGTAGAGATGATCAGAGCTTAAATATTTTGTTAAGACTCCCTCTCTATTTTCCTTGTGTTGCTAATCATGTGAAATAACAATAATACCCAAGGGTGATAGTGAGCACTAAAAAAAATGGCATCTAAAATCGGGAAAATAGGGGTAAACCGGGGAGGGGGGGGGGGGGGGTGGGAAGAACCAAAAAATGGAGGAGAAAAAAAATGGGGAAGAAAAAATCAGGAAAAAATCAGGAAACCGATTTAAATCGGGTACCAATTATGAGGCCTGAATACCTTGAACTGCTACTGCGACTCTAGCTGATAACAGGTCCTCTGATCCCGTTGCACTGTCACTGGCAATGCAGGTGGCTGGACTACTTGTGCTGGATTCTAGTTGGGTAGTCCCAGGACTAGTTTGGTCCGTGAGAGATGCTAGGCTGTAGACGGCCTCCGGAGCCTTACCGATAGGGTCTAGCTCAAAGTTTACAATGTGCTCTATGGTCGGAAAGAAATGAGAATAATTTTTAAAAGGTGGCTTTATTATATAGCGCACATGTTCGTCACAGCTTGAGTTTCCTCGCACTTCATGATTATTACCTTGGTCAAAAGCGACGGCCAAATATGAAGTTCTCTAGCACATCAGGTACCGATTTACAGCTGGGTGAAGAGTTGAAATACGGGAATTAATGTCTTGCCAAAGAGCGTTAGTGCCAGGCTGTGATTTGAAACCTCGACCTTTGGATTGTGAGTCAAGTGAATGAACCATTATACCATGTCACCTCCACAGATTTAGAAATATGCTTGAGACACAATACAACACATTGATTAACATTATTCCAGCAAATTCACAATAAATGTCTGTTCTTGGTATGTATAGTCTGCTGAGAGCTGAATGGTGTTGAGTCATTCTTGTTTTAACGTTATTTCAACACCCTTTCCGGCTTTTATGCCTATGTTTATGTTGTATGAAACAAAGATACTTTCTGTATCATTATGGATAATAAAACTTGAATCTTGAATCTACTTTTTTAATTACATGAACAATTAAACACACATGTACATGCAGGCATACTATCACAATTTCGAAAAAAATGATATTCGGGCTATTGGTGTCATTCTATTTCGAAATAGAATGACACCTTTAGCCCGAATATCATTTTCCAATTTTTTTGTTGGATCAAGAGAAGTGAGCGAGCAAAGCACATTAGACTCACCTTGAGGTAGCAAAGAGAGAAGTTCACTATGGGCCTCGTTTAACGTCTCTTCATCTTCACATTCTAACGTCACCTTGACTGTGTAGTAACTTTGAAAAAAGTAACAATAAATAATAGTAATATACATTAATGAAGCCCATTGCATTTATTTTCGTAATGAGATGTGAGTTGGTCTAGCGGCACATTCACTTGGTCAGCTCTCTGTCTTGGCCTATAAACTGGCTCAGGCAACCCTGATTAGAAACTGAGTCACGTCTTTCCAATTGGTGACGTTAAAGGTCGGTCCCAGATGTAAATAATCATATCTAATGGATATGAGCTGTAAAAACCCAATTACACACACATTTCTTTCATTTGGTCAGAAATCCGTCAGGAGGGGTAATTTCCCCCCTAGCCCCTCTTTCAAATATGCTAGTGTGTATACCCATGGTAATATGATAATAATAATAAAAGTTGAGTCTTGTGTAGCGCTCATGTCTGGCACATTGCCACTAGTTGGCTAATAAATGTGAATAATCATCATCATTTAATTAAAGTTAGTATTTTCTGACTTTTGCAACATGATGACACCCCCTCCCTCTACTACTTCTTGTCTCAAGCATCCTCCTCATTTAGACCAACCATTCTGCTTTCGTTCTTCTCCATATCTTTCCATGAAATCGTCGGTCTATTCCCCTCTTATGCCATCCACTTCTATATCCCATCCACTTCTATATCCCATGCTCTTTTCACAGGTTCATCATCTTCCCTTCTCAACACATGACCCATCCATCTCAATCCACTTCTCTTTACCACTTCCACCATAGTTTCTTCCATACCCTTCTTTTCCATGAGCGCTCTTGTGTTCTTTCTTTCACACCACACATCTTCCATATCATGGCTCTTTCTGTTCTCCTCAAGATACCTTCTTCTACTGTCTTCACTGTATACCTTTTTCAATTCAATTCAATTCATTTTATTCTCACATACAAATTAAAAAAACAATCACAATAACATATACATTGAAAAAGAAAATAAAAAGTATAAAACAAAAATATGGTGGGACTAAATTTGCAAAGGCCATAGGCCTGTCAATGGCGACCCCATTACAAAAAAAATATGATATATGTGTATGTATATGTAACAAACAAGAAAAAACAAAAACAAAAACAAAAAACCTGACTTAAAAAATATTATTTAAAAATGCACAACAACTAGTAATATCAAATGGGATTCTTCAAAAATGGCATTATTTACATTATACCCATGGTAATATATGAGATTAACCCCTTACCTGTGGCTAAGCTTTGGATAAGACCCAAGATGTACTTTTCCATTGTACTTGGCATTGAACTGGTTAAGGTATGGAGCTATGGCTATCTCATGTGTGCCGACGTAAATCTCTCGAAGATGGAAGTGGACAGGAGATCCTTGGAATAATTTCTCCTGTGAGAAGTAAAAGAAATTTTAAGAATATTAATAATAAAAATAATAAAAATAATATTAATGATAATAATCAAAATAATGATAATGAAGGTAATCAAATTAGTAAAAAAAACACCAACAATAGTGGGTTTTTGTATAGCACTCAAGCAATTCCAAGGAATTAATGCTCGTCAGGTACCCATTTACCTTACCTGGGTCAATAATGGTCAATGTAGATCAATATCTTGCTAAGCAACAAATATTTATTGATATAGATTTGTGTCATAGATTTTATTTTGTCTCACAGCAATTTGAGGAGGTTCAGCCTTTATTATGTAGGCCAATATTTTAATGTACACATATTTTCGCAGATGACAGTGAGTCTGCTATTTTTGCAAGTATTTGTGTTTGGGATAATTAACACAGGCTACTTGCAACAAATGCTCACACAGCGCATTTCCTTGTGTTCTTAAATTCACAATCCTCCGAAAAATTGGGAAATGTGAGAAAATAAAACCTCCATTACAATTAAGAGTTATAACAAGGGAAACGCTCTCGGCGGTCTCGCCTGCATAACGCAATTCAATATGATAAACCAGAACGTCAATGACGTAGCGCTCATCCGCATCTCACAACAACAAATATCGTAAATTTTAGGTGGTACACTTTTGAACTGGTCAAAAAATAGAAATTTGATGCCCTGGAAGGGACATAATTTCATTTCATTTGCATAAAGTACCATAAATAATCAATGGAGCAAAATCTCACAATTCTGTGTAGAAGTTTATTGTTCCAAATTTAGCTCTACCAGATAAGGCAAAATCGGTCAAGAAATGAGGGAAAAGAAGCAATTTTTGTTATTTTTGGAATAAATTTGCATAAATTACCATAATTAATTAATGGAGAACAATTTCAAAATTCTGTGTAGAAGTTTAGTGTACCAAAGTTAGCTCTACGATATAAAGCAAACCAAATCAAAATCGGTCGAGAAATGAAGGAGAAGAAGCCTTTTTTGTGATTTCGAATAAATTTGCATAAACTAGCATAGCATAGATAATGAATTTCACGATTCTGTGTAGAAATTTTAAATCCCCTCCTAGCCCTATCATATGAAACAATCAGAATCAAAATCGGTTGAAAAATAACGAAGAAGAAGCATTTTGAAAATCTTAATGTTGATGCCACAACAAAGTCTAAGTTTGTTGACCTTAAATGGCCTTTGACCTTAACTTAGTGACCTGAAATTCTACTCACAGGATCGGGGAGACTCGATAACCCTATAGTCCAAGTTTCATTGATCAAGAACTTATACTTTCAAAATTATATCAAAAATTCAAAAACTTAACCTTAGGTTAAGTTTTCGATGATGATGCTACAACATAGTCCAAGTCTGTTGACCTGAAATGACCTTTGACCTTGACTTTGTGATCTGAAATTCTACTCACATGATTGGGGATACTTGATTACCCTATAGTCAAAGTTTCATTGACTAAGAACTTATACTTTAAAAATTATACCAAAAATTCAAAAACTTAACCTTAGGTTTAGTTTTTGATGTTGACGCCGTCGCCGTCGCCGTCGCCGTCGCCGCCGCCGTCACCGGAAAAGCGGCGCCTATGTCTCGCTTTTTGCTACGCAGGCGAGACAAAAATGACATAAGAGTCAATGACGAACCTTGAGTGAGAGGAAAGCGCCCTCTAGGAGCTTTGGAATGCCAGGGAAGATGTAGACATTCTTGACCGAGATGATTGGGTACAGCATCTTCTGCCCTGTCTTGAGGTTGGTACCGAACGTCAGGGTCGAAGACTTCGGAACCTGGTATACGGAGAGAGTTTAATTGTTGACTGTTTATAACACTCGAACTAATTTGCGATCTGCAGGCAAATACCTGCTTGAGAGTCCTCGAACACGCTCTCATCTATGTGATCGTTCATTTACTGTCTGTGCATCAAGATTATGGAATTCTCTTCCCCAAATTCTTTGCTCTTGTCACCAGTTATCCACTTTCAGAACTCAACTAAAGACACACCTATTTCAGATTGCTTACAATTAGTCACTGCTTTTTTGTCTTTCCCAACTAGAATCATGAACAGACATTTTGGTAGTTTTTCAGTCTCATCAGTGCCTTTGATTAGGCAACTAGATATTGGCACTTTATATATACCTAGATTGGAATTGGTAGAATTGTATTAATAGCATTAAAGATGCATTTGGGCACACAGTGTTATAAACCCACTACACACAACATGATCACATTTTTGGAATAAGCAATAACATTGCCTGCACATATAAAAGTGTCAACTTGAAATTTGAGGAAAGCTTGTATCAATTCAGTGCGTCATTTTGACACTGCACAAATAAATGAGCTTTAGGTCTGTGACCACTGTGGTGTATTGAGACACGAAATGACAAAGCAGCTACACTCTGATATCGGCCATATTGAAGACAGTCTTTATTATCCAACAACAGATGGCAGTATAACAGTTGGCGAGGTGGCATAACACCATGTACACTACACTCCTCCCCCACTAAAAAAAATAAGAGGTTAACTGTACTTCCATTGAAACATACATATGTGAAGCAACCTCTTTTTTTAATATCACAAAATTTCCATAAAATAACAAAATCAGCAAATCAGCCCACCTTATGCCAAATAACTGACGACGTTAAATTTTGCTATCAAAATATATGTTGAGTAATTTCCAAAAAGAATTTGATGTTCCATAAAGTAGAAACAAAACACTTTGCTGTGAGTGTGACCCTATTCTAGTAACAAGTGCATTTGCAAACCGTTTTCTATGATTCTAATTCTTCTTCATTACTGAACATTCATGTAACAAAACTAATGGGTTTAGGCTGACATGTAAGACCAGCAATAAACTGAGTTACCCTTATTCAATTGTGTTGTTTGTTTTAACTTCTACAATCATCATGCAAATGTTATATGCATACCGCATACAGTATCTTAATACAAGAAACAATTAATGTTCACTGTTCACCTTTCTCAAAACTTTGGAGAATGTGGCAGAACCATAATATACCAAACTGGTACATAAAATATAAACATAATATATGGAATGAACTTACATTCCTTCTTACATATTTTCTACCAAACGATCTGGTTTCTTTCTCTTTCTGTCTGGGTACCTTCTAACATTGCTTTCTTCATCATGTCGTTCGTTTACCTCTACCCTCTCTTCCTGAAGGTCATCTTGACCTCGACTCTGACCTTGACCACTAGTACCACTCAATGTACTAGGCTCTACTGGTGACTTGCTAGTCTCCCTTCCAGACACAGACTCATTTGGTACAACAGACCTTGGCAATCCAGACAATTTTGTGCCCGAATTTAAGTGGTCTTGGTTAACAGAGACCCTTTCCTCCTGCTCTAACCTTTCTGGACCTCTTTCCAACAAATGATCAACGTGGCACTGACGTAGTCTTCCTCCAATCCTAACAAGGTATGAATAAAAACCTAGCCTTTTCACAATCACTCCAAGAACATAACGTTCCTTCCCACCTCTATGGTTTTTTACCATGACTTGTTCACCTGATTCAAATTGTCTCAGTTTCATGCCTGGAGTATCATGATACTGTCTCGTTTTTTCTTGTTTTTGTGTCACCCTGGTATTCAAATCTGGCTTAAGCAAACTAAACCTTGTCCTTGGAGCGAATTTGAACACTAATTCGTACGGAGAAACTCCCGTAACAGTTTGAGGGGTTGTTCTATATGAGAACAAGAAATTATCTAACCTGTGTCGAATTGACACATGGGGGTTTCTTCCCAACTTATCACTCAGAAAATACTTCTGCAATGTTCTTTTCACTATTTGAACAGTTCTCTCTGCTGCCCCATTCGAGGCTGGGTGATACGGTGGAACCAACACGTTTTACCCCATTTTTACTCAAGAAAACTTCCATTTCTTCTGAAGTAAATTGAGGACCATTATCGGACACTAGGGTTTCAGGTAAGCCGAAAACGGCGAACCAACTTCTCAAAGTCTCTATCGTCTTTGCACTAGTAGTGCTCGTCATCAACTCTACATTTACCCATTTACTATATGTGTCTACTAGCACCAAATAGTCCTTTCCTTCCAATTCAAAGAAATCTACATGTACACGTTCCCATGGTTTACGTGCATTTGACCACGGCACAAATGGTACTTTTGGGGGGTCATTTCTCATCCTGAGACATGCTTCACAACTTTGTGATAGTTTCTCTATGTCTGCATCTAACTTAGGATACCAAAAGTAACTCCTTGCAACAGCTTTCATTCTCACTATACCTGTGTGTTCCTGATGTAATTCTTCTAACAATCGTTCCCGGAACTTTGGGGGTATTATCACTCTCATTCCCCATAGTAAGCAACCTTGGTCTACTGATAGTTCATTTCTCCTATTGAAATACTCTTGTAACTTGTCTTCACCACAATGACTTGGCCACCCATTCATCACATGATACAACACCTTACTGAGCACCAAGTCCTTCCTAGTTTCTTCACTGATATCCTTTGCCGATAAAGGCATAGCATTCGTGTATGTGAAGTAGTTCACTGGTAATTCACTAGCCAAACGTGACTCCTTTTTGACAGGAAATCTAGACAAAACATCTGCGTTTGCATGTTCTGTGGACTTCCGATACTTGATTTCATACTGGTGAGCCATCAAAATCAATGCCCACCTCTGCAGCCTTGCAGCTGCCAGGGATGGAATCCCTTTCTTAGATCCAAAGATGATAGTCAGGGCTTGGTGATCAGTTAACAACGTAAACTTCCTACCGTACAAATACTTGTGAAACTTGGTAACCCCATAGATGATAGCCAAAGACTCCTTTTCAATCTGTGAATAGTTTTGCTCTGATTTGGTAAGGGTACGTGATGCATAAGCTACCGGTCTTTCTTCTCCATCTTCCATGAGATGAGACAACACTACTCCTAACCCATACGGGGATGCATCACAAGCCAAAACCAACGGTTTCTTCGGATCATAATGCGTCAATACTACATCACTTGACAACACTTCTTTTACCTTCTCAAAAGCAGTTTGACACTCAGTGGTCCAATTCCACTCGACATCATCTCTGAGCAATTGGTACAATGATGCAAATGTACTAGCTAAATTTGGCACAAACTTAGCATAATACACCACAATGCCTATGAAAGTTCTCAACTCATCTTTGTTCTCTGGTCTCTTTGCATCACAGATTCCTTCTACCTTCTCCTTTGTAGGATGAACACCCTTACTATCAATTTCATGCCCTAGGTATATTACTCTAGAAACCATAAAGGAACACTTTTCCTTCTTCGCCTTGACACCATACTCTTGGAGCCTCCCTAACACCTCATTCAGTGTTTTGATATGATCTTCCTCATTTTCGCTACTAATCAATATGTCATCTAGGTAGCAGCACACTCCCTTCATACCACCTAAGATTCGATCCATAACACTTTGAAACACTGCCGGAGCAGTCGATACCCCAAATGGCAATCTTTCATACTGATACAGCCCTTTGTGTGTATGAATTGTAAGTAACTCCTTACTCTGGTCAGTCAATTCTAACTGCAAGTAAGCATTTGACAAATCAATCTTACTGAATACCTTGCCACCAGCTAGATTAGCAAACAGATCTTCACAGGTAGGTAATGGGTAAACATCTTCCTCTAATACCTTGTTAACTGTTTGCTTATAGTCACCACATAATCTGACTGACCCATCAGACTTTGGAACAGTAACTATTGGGGCCGCCCATCTACTGTTCTTCACTTTCTTTATCACCCCTGCTTTTCCTAGCCTATCCAACTCCTTCTCGACAACTTCTAACTGGGCATAAGGAACTGGTCTAGCTTTACAAAAGGTAGGTTGCACCTCCTCTTTCACTTTTACCTCTGCCTTGAAATCCCTAATCTTATCACCTGGACCACTTGGTCTGAACACATCTTCATGATGTTTCAACACTTCTTGAAGATCTGGGGTTTTTGAAGTAAGCCCTATCTCAAACAACTCTCCCCAATCTATCCTGATTCTTCTCAACCAATTCCTACCCATCAGGGCGACATTGTCACCTGATACAACTACCAATGGTAAGTAATATGCAGAATTTCTGTACTGTACTCTCACTTGTATCCTACCTAAAACTGGTATTTGTATTCTACCATAGCAAGTTAGTTTCATACTTGACCTTTGCAGTGGAATGTGACCTAGAGAATTGTTGTACTCTTTCTCTGAAATTACTGAAACAGCTGCTGCTGTATCTACAACAAATGGCACAACATGATCAGAAATATCAAATTCAACAATAGGAACTGAGTCTGAGTCCATACTAGTATCTTGTTCATCAACTGCGAACAATGTAGGATTGTCATCCTGGACTTCTGTGTCGATCAGATGTGTGTTCGATCTACTGTCCTTTTTTCCTTGACTTGTACTTTGCTGACTATACCCACGACCACGGCCTGGACCTGGACCTCTACCGCGTCCGTGCGATGGTTCGTTGGACTGTCCGCGACTTGCGTTCCATGGTTTCCCGCGTCCTTTGCTGTAACTGGAGCTTGATGTTGCATTTCTGCATGCCCTCTTCAGATGCCCTACTTTCCCGCAACTATAACAGGTCGTCTGCCGGTGGGGACAAGTAGCTGGTTGATGGAAACCTAAACATCGGTAACATTTGCTCTCCTGCTGGGGGGCCCTAGGTTGAGATCTTTCTAGACGATGCACTTCTGCTGAACGCTGACTGCTGCTTGACCCTTGCTGTAGTTTTAAGCTATCTGCATCTGCCAGCTCCATCGCAATTGCTGCGTCAACTGCAGCTTTCCAGG